CCTGGTCAATGTTGTTGGACAACACCTGTGTTATTGTATGTAGTATTGTCAATTTTATCACGGTATCTCGTAAAAATATATGACTACTTGATGCATTAGTGTTTCAGTTTTATACCAGAAGTTTTTCCTCCCGCAATACTTTTCATTATTGCTTGTCGATATAACGGAACTGGTCAAGAGAAAAAAAGAATCGCCTCCTCGCGACATGTTTAGGCTTCGGCAACTCATGTTTTTGTAGAATGCCGTTATAAAGTATGTAACAATAATATTCTTAACATGTCGATATAATAGAAAAAATAAATGGTATAAATGCATTAAATAGTCATATATTTTCACGAGATACCATTATAACGTGGACAAAACTACATACAATAACATAGATGTGTCCACTTTCAGGTACCCAATTAACTTTTTCTCGTCAAAACCAGTTCCGATATATCGACATGTCTTAAAGAATAGTAATTAGTATTGAAAACAAAAAAACTTCTGGTATAAAAATGAAACATCAATGCATCAAGTAGTCTTATATTTTCACGAGATACCGAGATAAAGTGGGCATAATCCAATTAACACAGGTAAGTATAAACTTCCATGTGCACAATAAACGTTTCCATACATGACTGTGACCAGAATTTATAATACTGTTATCAAAAACGGTTACCCTGTAACAATACAAATGTTTTACATGGTACACTTGCATTAACAGTATAAATAACTCCCCGTGGAATATGGGAAATTTGCTTGAAAAACAGGAGTATCGAGCACATCTTTTAATTCATAGAATGTGTTTAAGTTTAAACATATTTATTGTAAATAAATTTTTAAAATTATATATGCCTGAGAAACCTAAATAAGAAATTAGGATAAAAATATTCGAATACAATGCTTCTAAATGCTGTGTTTTGAAATTCTTTGCCCCCGACAATTATATGAAGTAACAAACTTTCTTACTAGGGAATTCACCTATACCATATGGTAACCAATACAAACATCTCGGGATCCTTTGTGATAATAATCTATGCATGAATCCTTCCATAGACCAAGCAGTAAGTAAATTAAGGACAACATTTTATGGTATTCTTAACTGTGGTCTTCACCCAGATGGTTTAATACCTCCGACGCTCACGACCATTTATCAAACGGTTGTTTTACCAAAAGCTTTATATGGCTGCGAGCTATGGAATTCTGTGATGTTGCGCTTGGAGAGAGCGCACTGAGAATGTATTAAGTGTATACAAAAAATACCCTGCAATACATCGACAGTTATCTCCATATGTGCATTAGGTATGTTTCCCATTGAAGCTGAAATTGCTAAACGCAAACTGATATTCTTTGGTCAGATTTGCAGACTCCCAGAGAAATATATTGCAAAACAATTCTTTGTACACAGACTTATAAACTATCTGAACGGGGATAAACAAGTGATCGGATATATTCCTGATATGTATAAGCTATTAAGTGAATTTAATTTGCTTCATGTACTAGACGTGTATTCTGTATGTGGTACATTCCCAGAGAAACAAGCTTGGAAAAACGCTGTTAAACGGAAAGTTCATGAGTGGTATTTAAATGAAAGAAACGAATCTTTGCAAGGGCTCATGTCAGATCAGCATATAAGCACTGTGTTTCAGGGTGAGAATATTTGCCTGTTTTGGTCTTTATGTAAAGGGAATCGCTCAATGAAAGATGCATGTTACAATGCTGTTTATATTCTAGGAAGATTATACTCATATATAGATATAGAGTGTTGTAACAAATGTAATGAGTTGACTAATAAACTTTCGCTCCATAAGATATTTTATTGTGCTGTTAACCATACAACTAGATGTGATATGTGGTTATATAGTTTGAATTGTATCGGAATAAATGCCTATCTAGACTATATTCTACAAGATGAGAGAAACCAACTGTGCGATGTTTTGTCGGGTTTTAGAGATTATAACTCTGCGTTTGATTATAATGCCCGGCTATGGTCATGCCTTACATATTTGTTTAGGCTATGTAAGTGACTACATATATTTCAAGTAAAGCTTTAAGGGAAATACATCGTGATATTACATTACAATAGACTGTGTTAAAACAAAAATACAACTGTAATTTCATGTCTCATCCGCTGTTCAGTTCTTGTGTTTCGTTTCGATAAGCATTGAACTCTGCGGATTCCACAGTACAAGTTAGAATTTATTTAAGACAATGTTGTAATATAAGACAATATAAGAAACATGCTTATATGATGTATTAGAAAATATGACAGCAAATATAACTCCTGTTGTATAAGATTAATTTTCCTTAATTTTTGATCCTGTACTTCTTTTTCGACATGTGCAGTCTTAAGGGAATTGCCTCTCTAATGCTATGTTTCATATGTTTTGTGTTTTATTATTTCATGTAAATATTTGTATTTTTTGTATGTATATATGTATATAATGCTCTTCAAATATTGGAGGAAATAAAAGAATATATATAGCAATTATCAGTAACAGACGGTAGTAATATCGAATTAGTTCGGACACGATTCAATGTCCTATATTACATACATTAACAGCATTATTTACAGTTTTTCTCTCTACTATATTAACATATTTTGACTCCATGGTGGTAACGCACAGTTAAATCATGCATTTGACAAATTTATCCATTCACTCTTCTATCCTAAATATAACTCATATATTTGAGTATGTAGTTTTTAAGGGGAGTGGGGTAGAAGTGTCTGCAGAGATCACGGGTTCGAGCACTTCTCTTTGTTTGTTTGTTTGATTTTACGCCTTTTTCCAACAGTATTTCAGTCATATAGGCGGGTAGTTTCCTAACCCTTGTTCCTGGAGAGTTACACCCGTACTAGACTACCTTCCTCCGCACTAAACTACCAAAGCATCTCCCTGTCAAGACCATGTTTCCCTCTATGACACAATAATGGTTGGTTCCAGGAAGCGGACTCTAATGATTAATATACGTTGCAAGAACTTGTTTCGCAATGGAGCTTAAATTAATATGCTTAAACCAAATTATGAGTATATTCGTTGTTTTTGGTACAAATTCGCGATTTGTTTTCATTGAGTGGGAGGAAAATAATTGGCGGTATATTTGTGTAACTGCTGAATTCAAAAGAACGCCCGATGCTATACAGCGTGTTCACTATGTTGCCCTAAACAGCGCATACAAAAACAGCCGAAACAAGAACGCTATTTCAGTGTGGCAAACCAGATAATTTTAAATATGGTTAGAAAATTTATAATGATGGACGTCTGCATACGGTTACGGTAATACTATCTGTTTTACACCTGTGTATTTAATTTAACCGTTTCATCCGGGACCTTACAAAATACAGATCGGTCATTTCTGACATCTGTGTCTTTTTCATGATGGGTAAATAGAAAAACCATAAACACTAAGTAGTATTAACAAGTTTTAAATCTACTTTATTTTTTATATACAATGTTAAACTTTAAATATAAACAAAACAAATTTAATAGGAACACATGTCCGATGAAACAGAATAATCATAAAACTAGTCTAGATTAAATAAGTATAATGTATTCTATTCTTAAACATAATACAAACTATTTGGTGAGAAACTTCTATTTCTTGCTACTTCATTTGCCTGATATGTAGAAAATCAAATTTTTCAGTTTTTGATATTATATAGAATATTTTTAAACTTTAGTCCATCATTACTCCAGATTTAACATGTAGAATATAACTTGGATATTGACTGTTTTTACAGTTTAGTGCAGATTTCTCAAAATTGATTTTCTTGAAATATTTTGGCTCATCTGGAGGGGTGCAAAAATTTCCCTTACTACGTTAGTCACGCAGTAGAAATATGGCAATTAAAACTGCAAAATAGCACATGTCTATCATTACCGGACACATATTTTTTACATTTCGTATAACAATATTATTTTCTACATTTTTAAAACTATTCTTGAAGCTGCAGCAAGTTGTTTAAGAATAGAAAAAAGGATTAACAAAGTTCCACAAAATGTCACTTGGATCCAAGTAGGTTGAATAAGTAAACAACAATAACATTTGTGTCATGATTTTTTTTTACAATATATACAAATCAATTTCCAAAAGAAAAATATAAAGTCCTGTTTGTATTATGTTTAAAGATTAACAAATTTCCACAAAATGTCACTTGGATCATAGTAGGTAATTAAACAACAATAACATCTTATGTGACATGAACTAATTAGCATTATACAACTATTTACGGATCATTCTATTTTTGAAAGTATATGAATAAAACAGTTAAAATCTATTTCTAGAAATATATACAGCAGGGTTCATACAGACATCCAGTATCAAAATTCAAGGACTTTTAAGCACTTTCTTAAAGCATGTTTTCCCATTTTTCAAGCACAATTTGTTGTGTCTTAAAGGGACTCCACTGAGGTTTTTTGACATGATTGAACTGAAAATATTTTTTCCAGATAAATGTAAATTTTGATGTAGGTTTAGACCACTAATCTTTGTGCACAATTTCAGATCATTTGTGCACTTTGTTTTTCCAGAATAATTATTCAAAATACAAAAATAAGACCAAAATGAAAAGCATTTATATGCTTTTCACTCAAATCGGGGTAAGGAAAGCATAAAAATATGATTTTTAATTGGGGTAAGAAAGCATAAAAATATGATTTTCAATTTATTTCAAAGTATATTTCTTAACTATCTTTGCATATAATTCTGTTTAAAGTGTCCTTGAGCTCAATTATGTAAGAAATTTAAAAGTTATGTTTTTAGGCTTTTAAACCTCAGTGGAGTCCCTCTAATATCCTACACAATGTTTAACCAATATTAATTTATATGTCATTTTTTGTTGAAAACACATTTTCTGTATACATTACACTTGAACAGTTTAAATAGAATAACAACAAATATGGCAACAAATACAAACTTAACTACCACCGTGTTTTATGGCCCCCTGTTAAAACCCAATCAAAACCCAATCTTCAATATATCACGCCCTCACCCCCCCCCCCCCCCAAAAAAAAAAAAGAATAGTATTTTTGATGACATGTAGATTTATAACTGTGCCTATATGCAGAAAAAGTGTGGAAAGAGCACAGGAAGCCTTCACTACAATTGTAATGGATAACTATTTCCATTTGTGACTAATGTTTTTCTTTCTTACGTTTTCCGTTTCTTTTAAATATAAACACTATAACATGACAATATGATATATATCTACATTATTGATTTGTTTTACAAAAATAATGTCAATATTCATTGAATGGTAACTAAAAATCATTAGCATTATACATAATTGCAGTGGGTGGGGTTATGCGTTGATCTTGCGATCAGAATCTGGCTAAATGCTGTGTTGAGACCTTGGAACACAACATGAGCATTATAGAGGGGTTGAAATGAAGTTCAAATCAACAACTGCAATTTGTGCCTGTTACATTGAGCAATCTTTTAAAAAATTGATTGATTTTGGTACTGAATAAATCGCTTTTATTTTTTGTAACTGTTGCTTTTTACCGACACTAGTCTGTCATTCAATCATTTTCAAGCACATTTGTACCGGATTTAAGCACTTTTGAAGCACTTTTCAAGAGAGTAGTAAAAATTGAAGGACTTTTTATCATTCTTAAGCACTTGTTAAGAAAGGGGCTGTAATTTAAACACTTTTAAAGACTGTTTAACACTGTATAAAACAATTTCCAAGATGATGAAAAATGTCAAGTCCTGTTTAATATTAGTGATTTGGCATCAGAACCAACTTTTACAGGAACATAACTTAGAAGATTTATTTTCTTCTGCTTCGTAGGACTCGGGGAGTCCTCAGTCTACTTCTCACTGTTCTTGGTCGTTTCACCCTAAACGCCACTTCTTCGTCTATTTCTAACATATCCACTCCTTCTTCCTGCTCACATGTCACTGTTTCTTCTGGCTCCCTTTCTGTTTCTTCTGGCTCCCTTTCTGTCTCTTCTTCATTGTTGAGCATCTGTTCTCCCGAGTGTACTACAAAAAAATATAACATGAATTGAAAACAAGTTCTTGCTACAATTTTTTAAGTCCAATAAATAAACTTAATATTGAGAGGCAGCATGGCTGAATGATAAATTTGTTTAACTATTATCTAAAGAATGCTAGCGGCATGGGTTCAAATTGTCACAGGTAACAAATTGAGCAAAAAACTTTTACAATTAGTACTAGCTCAATACAGCAACAGAATTATGAGTGGCTCAATATTGTTATAGCTTCCAAGACAATTGAACTTAATAAATTTGAAAACACATGACAAGAGACCTACAGGAACGTTGTGTCATAATTAGCATGTTACAGCACAAGATTGTTGGTTATGACCAGTAGGCAAATATATACTTTGTGCTTGATTAATTAGTTTCTTTGTTATAAAATTACATTTTTTCATTTAACTTCACCCAATTCAGGAGTAAGGTTTTCAAGGTTTGGATTATAAAATCATATAAATAACTCTTACAAGCAATAAATCTTTGCCTGATGTCTTCTCTCACATCACACACGTTGATAACCACTGCTCTAAGTAGCTGACCCTTCATTCTTACAACTTTAGAGGGATCTCCACTGCCTTCTGCCTTTAAGCGGGTCAGCATTCCTTCACTTAACCCAACTGTGTCAAGTAAAAACGGCCGTACAATTTTTATCTACTCCTCCTTCATCTCTGTTTGACTTACAACCTAGAATAGAAAATAGCAAGTTGAAATATAAACTTTAATAAACAAAAACTGTGCAAAATGTTTTTTCTTCCTTAAAAAATTATATCATTACAAAGCTTCAGCAAGACTTTTCATTGCTACACTCTATTTAGTTCATATAAGAAATATGCATGATTGTCAGAAAATCATTTGGCTAAACAGGTTCACAAATCTTACTAAATATCATTTTCTACAGAATTAAATTGCTCTGTCTTGATTATATTATTAAGAGATTATTACAGCAGAGTAGGGCTGGAAGTTGATAATCGGCCCGCAAAATAAATAATTGCCCCGAGGGCTTCAGCCCGAGGACATTATTCATTTCAGGGCCGATTATCACCTTCTGGCACAACTATGACATGAATTAATGTCTTTAATACACTTGATTGATCAAATAGTAGCATTTATCTTAAAAACAAAATTTGGTATTTCTAGTTGAAATTTCCATCTCTGTATTTTTACTGTACTACAGAGTTGTTTACTTTTTGTTTGTTCAAACACTAGAGTCTAGTTCGAAGGAAGTTGCCTTTTCATTTTTTCGGAATGAATAAATATGTCGTATTATTTCTTTACATTTTAATAATTTAAAAACTGTGTTTTAAATAAGAAATACACTAAAGGTCTCATCATAAAATTAAGCGATTCGTGCTTAATTTCACAGTTAACTGTTTGATGACGTTAAATATGACGATATTGTTTCAGTTTGTGCACATGCAAATGTTCGGCGGGCTGATAACTAGTTCTCGGCCCTGGGCCGCAAACTCATAATAGGTCACGTGACACGCAGTCGATATCATAGGCAATTTTGTTACTATAAATAGTAACAAGTGTATCAAAATACAAAAAAGGTTCTAGCATAAGATAATCTGGCTTTAATCTATGAGAAAAATATTAAGACTTTCAGTCAATTAGTTATAATTTGTGGAATCCAATAAGTTTTCAACAGTGTCTAGATGTAGTCATGAATATAAGTTTCTATTTTACATCAGTTTTGGGATGTAGAATCATTCCATTTTCCATTACTAAACTTTTAAAATGGTAACTATCAAAATATTTCTATAATTGCTACCTGCTCTGAATGATCCATCACTTTTTCCATAATAATAGTTGGTAAGGTCTGGTTGCCAGGCATTGACGCACTTATATAAGGAAATAGTGTGTCTTCTAAATAAACCTCAATGGCTTCCAAATACTGGCGTCTTCCTGATATCTCCAATACCTGTAATAAATTGTAAATGATTGTACAGGATGGTCTTTGGAAACTTAATTGTAGTCTTTTGAACTTAAGATGTTTTTTTCATATCGCTTGTACAGACATCCTTTTTTTATTTAAAATTTCATCTATATGATGAATGTTTCAACCTTATATCAATCTTGATTTTTGAATAATAATTTTTTGATTCTATGAACTTGACAATAATAGAGTTTCTTTAGATTTCAATTTATGTATGAATATTATCTATAATACTTGGGTAATTAATACCAGTTATTCTATGAACTTGACAATAATAGAGTTTCTTTAGATTTCAATTTATGTATGAATATTATCTATAATACTTGGGTAATTAATACCAGTTATGTAATATGTTCTATAGTCTGATAATGTGTTTTTACAAACTTAACTTATTTTTCAAGAAAAAAAAAATCGTGAAAAATGGTGCTTGTCTTTCCAAAGCAAACAGGCCTTGGCACCTTTCAAAATATTTTTGGAAAAAGCCTTCTTAAGTACCTTTCTAGCAGCTGTTAGAGGCACTGACAGACCTTCCAGAACTCTGAGATCACAAGGCACCTTGTTCATGAGTTCCCTGGTGCAGTTGTGGACTTCCTCAGGACTTATGTGATGAATGGCTTTCAGCAGGATTGGCAGGGCTGAGGAAGCTGAAGCAGCTAAGTTTTCCAGAACACTGGCTACACCTGGTTGTTTTGGGCCTTCAATTCTCTCCATTTTCAATATGCAGAGTCTGCTGCTGTACCTAGTGATATAAATTTTTTTTGTGTAATCACTTTAAAAATATGGCTTCGCATGAAAATGCTGTTGATATTTAACATGTAAGTAAAACCAGATTTTAATAAATCCATGTCAAATTTTAGAGTGACATTATTTCATGCAGAACTATTTTTTATAGGTATAACTTTTTTCATTAGCAGTCTTACACCCCATTCATGCCGATATGTAAGATATTCAGCCAATATATACTGTTTTGCAGCAATTAAAGACATCTAAAGTTCCAATTCCTTTATAACTTGTGCATCAGGCAAATATTTATGCAAACACAAGCATTCTAAATTTTTCTTAGTATGAAATTTCCTATAAATTAATAATCATTACAAAACATACACATATTAAAAAACAAAAGCCCAGTTTGAAACGGGTGTTGCTCCCCTAATAGATTTTTAACTTGGGAAAGTACACCTTTTGTAGTTTCAGAGTTATGTCCCTCAACAAATTTCAAAGTGCGATAGTTCCAGAATAAGGCAAGGCAGAGTTACAGTTCTTTGTACTGGGCTTCTAATAAATAAGATATATCTATCTACAATGGTTCTTACGCACTGCTTATTTACTCATTGAGATCTATCTACCTTTTAAGTTTCATGTTGATATCTTGATAATTTTAGACTTATGTCCCAGAAGATTTTTCTAAAAGGGGAGATAATTCAAAAATGGACTGAACAGAGTTATGGTTCTTTTGCACTGCACTTCTACCCAATGAGATCTATCTACCTACAGAGTACCATGTTAAAATCACTTATAATTTTAGAGTTATGTTTCAGACAAAGTTCAAAGTGTAAAAATTAACAAAATTAGGCAAGGCAGAGTTACGGTGTTTGTGCAATGCACAGCTACCCATTGAGATCTAACTACATACAAAGTTTCATGTTGATATCTCATATAGTTATAAGGTTATGTCCCCGACAAGATTTTTCTAAAAGGGGATATAATTCAAAAACAGTGTAAAATAAAGTTCTGGTTCTTTCACACTGCACTCCTTAAACAAATTATCTACAAGGGTTTTCAAGTTATGCTCCAGACAAGACAAAGGACTGATACTGGGACAAATGGACGGACAAGGCAGCGACCAGGAGCATAACAAGAGCTGTCGGTAGGACAGCAACGCTCGACTATTCTTAGTGCTTGATAGTAAAAAAAAATGCTTGATACAGTTACCTCCTCCTGTTTACAGGTTGGGGTCATGATGGTGAACAACTGTGAAAAGTTTCAAAGCCATATGTCAATGGACTTTGAAAATATTTGAACTATTACAAAAACTTTAACGTAAATTCTAAGTCGAAAAAGGGGCATAATTCTGTCAAAATGCAATAGAGTTACCTCCTCCTGTCTACAGGTTGGGGTCATAATGGTGAACAAGTGTGCAAAGTTTCAAAGCCATATGTCTATGGACTTTGAAAATATTTAAACTATTACAAAAACTTTAACATAAGTGGTTACGCCGACGTACCGACGCCGACGCTCCGGTGACTGCAATAGCTCTACTTATTCTTATCGAATAGTCGAGCTAAAAATGTGTTTATTCAGCACTTTATAATTTACTTATTTTGTTGAATCAGTATGTCTTATTTTATTATGAATTATTTTGTTGAATGGCAGAGACATATACCTAATAAGATATTGCCATAAGACCATAAGGTGATTAAACAAATTGTTTCACTAGGTAAATCTCAAATGGGTACTGTGTTACTATTAACCATTTGGGGAGAAAAAAAAAGATGCTACACTTACCGTGATACCGAAGTTAGATCAAAATTTGCAGTTACAAGGCAACCAGTGAGTGGGACCTGGGGCATCTCTGTTAACTTTCCTCTCACTGCACCATTCCCAAGATCGACAGCCAGCTGACCAACTTCCTCCGGGTTTGTAGGGTCATCCCAAACAAATGGCATTGACGATGAGATAAGTCTTTGTATTAAGTATGGTAATGTACATCTAAAAATACATGAAATTATGTAAAATAAAAATCTTAAAGCTGCACGCCTCCAGATGAAACAATATATTTGAAGAAAATCAAACTTGAGAAAAAGTACTTTGATTTATAAGAACAATAAAAAGATTAGTAAAAAGTAATAGTTTCTATGTAATCGGCTGATTTTGCAGTATTTTTCTAACGCAGTAAGGTCTATTTTCGAAATTTTCACCTCTTTTTGCTGATATACATGGGTTGTAAGTGCTGTATCAAACGTGAACATTATTTTCTTTGTTCACTTACAATATTTTACTTTTTATAACATTTTCAAAATTTTCATGAAAATTTGCATTAATCTGGAGGCATGCTGCTTTAATCCACTATATGCATTTGCACTGTCTAATGAATTTCAAATGCTAGCACTTGAATTATATAGATGTATGATGTTATGTAGATTGTAAAAATACATATTAAAACATGCGATTATTTTCACTGCTTAGACTTAGACTTAATTAACAGGTATAATTGGTTAAAGGGCAAACTTAGGGGTCTGCTTGAACTACAGATACTAACATATTCTATCATGCCTTCCTTCTGACTATTTTATATGATGTATTCTGGAACAGTGTTATGAGGCATAGCATTAGAAGGAGTAAGCTTAAGGCTATTTTGTAGAGTCACACTGTGATATTGTTATCTTGCTTAGACAATGTATTTGACCATCGCCCATTTGTTTACCGACTGATTGTTGCGGAAATCCTGCATAACACACCTACTACTTTTGCTTATTTTTGCTCTATATCCAATAGAAACTAGTTTAATAACTTTGCATGCATTTAAACCTTACCAGTGATTATTAACATGCATGAAACACTAGCTCATGGCTTAGAACATGAAGTATTTCTCCAATAATTAGTCACACCCAAAAATACTCACTACTAGGCAGCAAATGATGCCAATGTTATCACCTTATTATAATGAGTCAAAATAATAGGAATGTAATGAATGTTAAGATAATTCTCTTTCTAAGACATTTTGTTCAAATTTATTGTGAGTAGTTTGACTACGCCAATTTGAGTTTAAGTGTAATGAACCAGATATTTTCAATATTTCCAAAATATAAACATTCTGACAGACTCACCTAGAAGCAATTTGGGTTTCCTGACATCCCGTCAGCCAGGCACCACACGTAGCCACAAGTGTTTTGCCAACACTGGGTACACCAAATAACATTGGCAAATTGAAATGCCTTATATGCCTTAATGTCCAGGGATATCTGAACATCATCAGCATTGATGCCCAAGCCAACAATGCTGCACCAAAGTTGTTCAACAACACTTCCTTAGCTTTGTCTAAGAACACCTGTAATAACATAGATTAACTACATATAATACAATAGTTATATAATAATGAATAAAACAATAACTATACTAGAAATTGTGGTTTAAGAGTTATTTTCGGACAAAGTTCAAAGTGTAAAATAAACAAAGCGCAATAACTCCAAAATTAGGCAAGGCAGAGTAACAGTCCTTTTTGCACTGCACTCTATTCAAGTAGATCTATCTACCTGAAACATTTGAAGTAGATATCTCCTGTACATTTTAAGTAATGTCAAGAAATCTGCAACAGACTAACCAACATACCACAAGCTGACTCAAGTATACCCCCTCAAACTTAGTCAGTGGTATAAAAATAATAATCTTATTTTAAAAGGAAACACATAGAACAGGGAAGATGTTTTTCATTACAGGTCAGCCTTCTGATTTAGAAATTGTTAAAGATACAAATCCAAATATACACTTGCATGGCTAAGGTACTAGTTATGGTATTAATATTTTCATTTGTTATCCAATAGTTAAATAAGGAAAAGAATCCTTGTAATTGTTGTGTAGAATTAAACCGTATAATTAAATTTATGTTAGTGAGGAATTTATTTTGGAAAGTTAAAATATTACAATGTACATCAGAACATGTTCCCAACTCTAGTAAATTATCTTAAACACAATCACCAAATGTATTATTTGTAGACTCTGCATAATAAAAAATATATATATGAATAAAAAAGTATCTGTGGGATACAACTTCTGCGGAGTAAAAAAAAAATGGTATTCTTTAATTCTTACTAAATAAAATATAGGGATAATATATAAGGATAATATAAACTTAATTTTTAAATAATACCTAAATTAGGGCACGCTATGATACTGAAGAAAATGAAGAATTTCGGTAATTTTACTGAAATCAACTTTTCAACTCATAAAAACAAGCCAAGATAAAACTTCCTTATTTTTACATTTTTGGACATAAACTAACTATAACTGACATCCAGTGAAAAACTGATTTTTTTCCCCCAAATGTTATTGACTCTTTAAGTCATCATTCAAATTACTTCCCTTGTCAGTTATTATCAAATCTGTTTAGCCTTACCAAAATCAATTAAGTATGATTAAATTGTATAATATCTAATATATGGATAAAAATTAATGTAAACATCTTGAAAGTAAAATACCTTTTTTGATGATAGTATTGACAAAAGTATATATTATTTGATTTGACACAAATAGACAGAAATAAATATTTGATAAGTAAATATTTTTATCTTGTTTGTTTCATACCCTTATCAAAATACATTGAAAAAAGTAACATTTTTAGTTTTTACAGTGAAATGTCTTCCAAATAAAGAGAATGTTATGATATGCTAATGTAAATTAATGAGCAACTGAGAAGACATGATATATATCTTTCGATTTTTCTACTTTTTAACAGTGATTTATTTTAATTTTATTAACAATTTTTACTTTTAAAAATTGTTCGGAAAATTTTATTATTTATACTTTAATGACTGAAAATGGATTTAAAATTGCTATTATACAATAAATTTTATACCATGCAAAATGCTAATAAATCCTACTAAAAATTATGATATATTTCCAATATCTATTTCTTTCTGGATATGTTTACTTTTCAGCAAGAGTTCTTCTATCAAACAGTTTAGCTTCCAAAAATTGATTTAGGACAAAAATATTGTCCTAGAATAGTGGAAGTAATCATGAAAGTATATTTTTGTCTCTAATATCATCAATATTAAAAAAATTTCCTTGGATTTTTTGGAAATAAAGTTACTTAAGTTTTTTAAAAGAACTCATATATATAGAGGATATTGAATGAGTGTAAGTTCAATACTGAATTTATTGCACGAGTTGAATAAAATTATATTATGCGAGCCTCATATGACACTGCTTGGTTCCAGGAAGCAGAAATGAACGTGATTATTATAACTTGCAAGAGCTTGTTTCACAATCAAGCTTAAATAAATGTAGAAAAGTGATATTTTAAATATTCTAAGTGCAATTTAACACCGGTTTTATAATTTTCTTAAGTAAATAATTTAAGTAGATCTTAATTATGAACCTATCTTTGGTACAAAAACTTGACAGCCGACATAACTGAGTAACATAAAATATATATTATTTGTGCAGCTAACTTTGAGAATTTTTTTGTAGTTAGAAACATAAAAAAAACTTTACCCTATAGGGACCCAAAGAAGTTGGTGTTTGTATTACATGACATAGCTCTCCTCTTGGCAAACTGGTACTGGCAGCATTCCAGTTGGGTATCCATACCAAGGATGCACTCTCTGGATCTATCTGTAAAACAAACCACACATAAATTATATGTTAAGATAGCTGTTTATCAATTTGAGTAATAGATGAATGTTATGTAAGAAATTCCTAGATAAAATGACAAAATCTGGTGCCATATTATCCCGAAATTTACTTCATATGTTAAAAAAAGATTTAATTTTCAGGGATTATAATTTGAAGCAGCCTATAAATAAATTTGATTTTCTAAAATAATTTTTATCTGCCAATATCTTAAGCAATGTGTTTTATTTCAGAAAATGGATGTAACCAAACTAAAAAACCCCAAGTCAACCATGAGATCTGCACTTTTGTAAATTTCACAGACTAAGAGACATTTCAAAATTGTTGTTAAACATTGGAAGGGTATGGCCTATTGCGGACGCCGACGCTCTGGTGACTGCAATAGCTCTACTTATTCTTATCAAATAGTCGAGCTAAAAATGATAAGAGCAAAAAGTATAAAGTTTTTAAGTTAAATAATTAGTTTAAGGACAAGATAAATCTTGAAAAAATGATGCTAGAGTTATGAACCTTGTCATGCATGATGAGATTAATGACAGTCAAAGTTTTACAAATTAAATGTAGAAACCTGGAAAAACAGGACCTAGATTTATTTATCTTATCACATGACATAAGTGTAGATAACAAACATAATTTTAAAGTCTGAATGAAATAAAGAAGTTAACAAAACTAGAAGTCTTTGAGTTGAATGTGTTGCCTTGTAAACAGTATTGTTGTCACTTTCTTCATTACTCTATGCATTTCCTTTTTAAATATTGGTTCTAAATAAACACCGCTCTTACAATGTACATGTACCTTTAACTTTAGTGGCATTTGAACTGATTGTAACAATGTTACATCAGGATTAACAAGCATTTGATAGTATTGCGGGCAATACAGTAGTCCCCTACCTGTCCCTCAAAAAGTTCTTTAATTGTCATACACTCCTGTGTATTGCCATTTATAATGAATTTGAGGATGAAGTCTGTATTTGAAAATATCAACCACAAAACATAATAAAATAAGTTTGTCTATATCACAGTAATGTGTTAAGTTTCCATGCTTAGTAAGGAAATTATGTTTATACAACCTTGTCATATTATTACGATGTGGGATTTTAAAGTAAATCCTATAAGGAATGAAGAAGTTGGAGTGAAAATACCAGTTTGTCGAAAAAAATCTAAGTTCAAGGGGGACAATTCTGGAAATAGTCTTGCTAGAGTAACCTTCTCAAAAATGTCGAGTGATAATAAGAAACATATATATGAAGTTTGAAGTAGATACATTAGGAAATAAAGAAGTTATTTAAAAAAGACAACATTTTTTCCCCTAAAAAATCTAAGTTCAAGGGAGGTAATACTGATATTTTTTGTGCTAGAGTTATAAACCTTGTCACATATGATGTGGTTGATGACCAGAAACTTATATTTAAAGTTTGAAGTAAACACCTTAAAAAATAAAGAACATATAGTGAAAAAGCTGAAAAATTTAAATCAGAAATCTTGAAATTCAGGCTATTTGTTGCCATAGCAACCAGAATTTTCAACATAGGAAGAAAAGAAAAAGATGTGCATAATCTCCAGACTGCCAACTACCCATATTTCAAGTTTCATAAAAATATTTTCAGTACTTTTTGAGTTATCACTGGATCCAGTTTATGTGTTAAATTTGCCATATTTTCAGACTATTTGTTGCCATAGCAACCAGAATTTTCAACATAGGAGGAAAAAAAAAAGACGTGCATAATCTCCATACTGCCATCTATCCATATATCAAGTTTCATAAAAATATTTTCAGTACTTTTTGCGTTATCGCGGGATCCAGTTTTGTGGACGGACGGACTGACAGACAGACGGACGGAGGGTAAACCTAAAGTCCCCTCCGGTTAAACCGGTAGGGGACTAACAAGCAATTATCATAAGTCACCTACCGGTTAGAACCCCAGCAACATTCTGAAGGGCCATTGGTCATTAAATTAAAGATTGACATGAATAAACGTAATTCTTTTGAGTTCTTAGTTTGTCTTTATCTAAGTAGTATGTCAAGTTTCCCTAATTATGTATATAGAACAGATAATCAAAAGATCAAATTTTCTCAGGATGAATGTGTATAACTTATGTTTCAACTTTTCTCTACTTTTAGTAAATTTATAGGAAAAGTTCCAAGTTCTTTAATTGATCAAGGAACCAGATCAGACCAATTGACAGAGACTCTAAGGATAACTCTTTAAACATCCCTGGTTGTTACCAGAATATATCACTTTCTAAAGCCAAGAGGATGTAACTCTTTGTTTAAAGATGCTTAACTTTTCATGCATGATGTGAATGTAACAAAGAACAATTATCTCAAGTTTAAAGAAGATAACATTCACACACAGAAAAGAAAAGTGAAAAAATAATTCAAAAATATACCATTTAATATAGTAACAAAGAAGAGAATTAAAAGGAAAAATAAAGTAAATTTCAAGTCAAAATGAATTCAATCATGGAAACCATGTCTTATAAATCTAATCACATATGAAGTAGATCTTGATAATGAATGTCTTTTTAAAATTTGAAGTAAATCAATGGAAAAAAATATGAAAGTTAAAAAAGAATGCTGGTATGCATTGGTCAATACAGAAATGTAATTGTGACATTAGAAATATATATGCTCTTTACCCCCAGTGACTTAATATTAGCGAAATTCATGGTCGATATGATTAGTGATAGTTTGTTGCCACAAAAACGCCATCCTTATGAAAAATGCAGAAAAATTGTTTGTGGGAATACAGTATACTGCACACAGAAATTTTTTTTTAATGAAAAATTCAACCTTGTTTACAGATAAAGAACTCATCAAAGATACCGAACACATTTCCTAATATTTAATTTTGAACAAATGTATTATATTGGTAAAGTGGACTTGCTGAATTTAATTCATTTTTGTATTATCATAGTAAAACATTTCCTGGGTATATAACCAGTAATTACTAATTCCCTTGCAAGTGACTAACTACTTATCCCACAAAATTTGGAAAACTTTGTACATACCATTTCTCCACTACTAAGATCAATTATTTGTTCCGGGTTTAAGAAATACAATTCTGGTTCACCCTCTTGAAAGCCAGCAGTTGTGATTAATGTTTTTTTCACATGTTCATCTCTCATTCTCATCTCATCATCAAGCATGGTGTTTAACCTAAACAACTCCTCTGCTCTAAAGTAGCACAATAATCCCTTTTCTTCAAAACTGTTGTTCAGGGCTGTTTGCAAAGTATAGGCATTTACCAAATCTTTGGATCGAAAATGTGCCAACCTGTAATTAATTAAAACAATTATATTTAATTCACAACATAATTCTACTACCATGCAAATAATTGAAACGAAGTAAAGCTTTTATTATGAGGAACAGGAACATAGTTTGAAAAACATATCAAGAGGAAATTTGTTTTAGAAATGTTCATGTACAAGTTATCAACCTTTTACTACATGTAACTATATTATGTGGATGGTGAAAAGAGACATATATTTATATTTATTCATAGATTATATATAATTTATGTATTCATATGGTCAAAACTTAAGTGAAGCCTTGCAATATCTGTCACTGTTATAATGAATTTCTTATACATATCTGTATTTATAAAATAACTACAATTGAATAAAACTGATATTGATTCATACCACTGCATTGACTAATTGCCATTCAATATGATCATTGAATTGAATACTATTATGTTCTAATATATATGCAATTTTACACCATACAAAAAACTTTTTTGAAACCAAACAATTTTTTTATTTTATTACTATAGTATAAAACATTGTCATTTTCTAAAACAATTATATTAAGTATCAACAGGCTTTACAGACACAAGATATGTTGTACTTCAATGTACACCTTCTTTCTTGCAAAACTGGCCTTTTTTCAGTAAAAACATAGAAAAACCTATATTAACTACAATTTTATTGAATTATCAAATTGATACTCTTTACAATAACAAACCAAGATGGCATTTCAATTAATACATATACCAAAACATGCAGTTTCTCAAAATGTTTAGTGCTCTTGATTTAAAGGCATTTAAACTGATTCTGGTGTGAATCATCATTATGTAAATAAATCAATTTTGAATCAGGCAGTCCAACAAGAACTGTCAGAGGCCAGTATTGGCTCGACTATTCGAAAAAGTTGTCACAAGGGTGTTTTATTGAGTATAATAATGCTAATTACCTATGAATACATAAAATTGACCGAAAAGGTACAATGGCTTGTTATTAAGATGTTTTATCAAGTAAATCAGTGCTTTATTATTATGAATGCATAAAATTGTCCCAAAAAAAGGCACCAAGCCTTGAAGTAGTTATGGAGATAACAGCTTACAAGCAAAACTTTAGCATGAATTTGAAGTTGAAAAAGGGGAGAAAAATCAGCCTAAATGCAAGATAGAATTATGGATCTTGGACAGTGACCTACAATTATGATTCTAAATGCATATGTGAAGTTTTAAATAAATATCTTAATAGTTATTGAGATATGTAAATCTTGCATGTAAACATTAACCAAGAGACTAAGTAGAAAAGGGGAGTAATCAGCCTAAATGCAAGATAGAGTTATGGAACTTGGTCAGTGACATACAATTATGACCCTCCAATTATGACCCTTAGTACATGTGTAAAGTTTCAAGTAAATATCTTTGAAGACCTTTAACCAAAATTCCTAAGTTTCAAAGGGGCAAATAATTCTGCAAATATTGCAGGCAGAGTTATGCAATTTTGCAAACTGATGTACATTGATACTATAAATAAGTATTTTAAGTTTCAATTGAATATCTCAAGCCATAATTGAGATATTTGACTTAACAAAAAAACTTTAACAAAAATTTCTAAGTTAAAAAGGGGCATAATTCTGTCAATATTGAAGGCAGGAATATTCAACTTGTCAATCTGATGTACCTTGTGACTATGAATAAGTATTGTAAGTTTTTATTGAATATCTCAAGCAATAATTGAGATATTTGACTAACCAACGCAGACGCCGACACGGACGCCGGGTCGACTACAATAGCTGTCATATTCTTCGAATAGTCGAGCTAAAAATGAATGAAGTCAAAATGAACTAGAACAATTGCTGAAGGCGATTCATACTCCTACCAATGTGCATGACAGAAATTGGAATAACTTTTATAGCAAAAAGATATATCTATTAAAAGAAATTGTCTTGTATGAATAAAAGAAATATCTACAAAATTAATGATCGTATTAAGTTTAACTACTTGTAAATATTAATATTTTTAATTGACACACAGAGTCGCTTTGAAGATTCTGTACCTTTACCTTATAATTCAATTAATTATAAAGTTTCTTTAATTATTTGTTAAGTTTCAAGTCAATATAGTATTATCTCTGTTGGTTTAAAAATATTCCAAAAAAATACATTTCTTTATTAATACAAAGCCATTGCCAGACAGGGAGAATGTTTGGCTTCTGCCAAAGTGTAAATCAAATCATAAATAAGCAATTATCATTGTATTCCTATCTGGTATGAACACCAGCAACATTCTGAAGGTGGCTATTCAATTATGCAATTGTGGACAACATGAATGAAAATTTAAATCTTTTCAAAAACTCTTAATTTATCTGTAATGTGTTACATGCCTTTAATAAGGAAATAATGTTTATACCATTTATTTATTTGTTCCAATGTCTTTCATAGTTACTTTTAGGGATGACAAGGCAGATGGACTTAAACTGTAAGTGGTTAGATATATAGATACTTTTAGAAAGATACTTTCATTTCCTCCAAAGATGAAGAGCATATCAGTATTGACAGATACAATACTTGTATAAAACAATTTAAATATTATGCGATAACATTACAAAAATATAACCCATAGGACACGGTGCCCCAACACGACACTGTTCTGTCAATCTTATGACTCTAGGTCAAATATTTTTTGGAGTACATATTCTCCAAGTTGAAAACTAAAAATCTTTTATTAAGTTAACACAAACTATACAACTACACATGCTGATCAATATTCCTGTTAAGTTTCATGACTCTAGGTCACGTGTTACCTGCGACACAAAAGAGAACAGACGTACTGACGGAAGGACAAGGGTAAATCTAAACGCCCCCCCCCCACCCCCACCAAAGTGGGGGCACCAAAAATCATATATTGTGGGATCTATATTAAATCTTGTTTTTTATTTATTGATCTTTTATCTAACAACAAAAATGTAGAAGAAAAAATGGCAACTACAAGTGTATCCATATATGATTGTACCGTAAGCATTTCTCCTTTATATAGCAATTATTCAACAAAATCAAAACTAAAGCTTTTTTTTAAAGTAGAAAGCTCATTTTATTGATTTTTAAAGGGGAATTGGGAAATAGTGCTAAATATAAGTCATATCTTCTTAACAGAAGATATAGTTAATATAAAGCTTAGATTTATTTAAATATTTTCTTCATTTATACAAAAACTAAGAAAGTTTATGAAAGGAAAACCCGATTTTATACAGTTTTGAATAGTGTAAAACTTTTATAAATAATTCATGATATTCTACTTATTCATAGATGTATTTATATTTTAGTTTCCAAGCACTCGAAGATTAAATCTATCATAATTTGATTCTTACATAATTACAGATAAGACATACATATCAGAAAACATTTCTCATTGGTACAAATACAATATATATACAACATAATGTATTACAATGCATGTCAATACATCATTCAATCTAATAAACGTAAAAGTGATTTAGTTAATGAGAAGTTAATGACGGCGAGCCCCATTATAGTTTTACATTGTTCAAGAGGACAATTTTCAATTAAATCCAAGTTCAAAATGAAAATGAATATGGAAACCCAGTCACAAAACTTATAAATCTAATGGTGCAGGTCTTTTTGAAATTTGAAATAAATTCACGAAGAAATAAGAGTTATAGAATAGCCAAGAGCTGTCACAGAAGACAGGGAAACTTGACTGGACACAGTTAGGAAGACAAAACTAAGAAAAATCAATTATGATATTTCAAGGCTTGTGCTGTAACACTTGTAACAACCTGTAACATTTGTAACAATAATGTGTAAAATTTTCATTTCATTCTCAACCTTCGTAACATTTGTAACAATACTGTAACAACTATGTAACAACCTTGTAACATCTATGTAACCTTATTAATTCCGTTTTCTGTCCATTTTTAAGGCTTGTGTCGTAACACTTGTAACAACCTGTAACATTTGTTACAATAATGTGTGAAATTTTCATTTCATTCTCAACTCTGGAAATATTTGTAACAATGCTGCAACATCTATAATTTAACCTGTTAATTCCGTTTTCCGAGCATTTTTTGAGTTTGTGCTGTAACACTTGTAACATCTGTAACTTTTGTAACAATTATGTGTGGATTTTTCTTTTCACTTCACACTCTCGTAACATTTGTAACAATGCTGTAACAATGCTGTTACATCCTTGTTACATCTATGTAACCTGATTAATTTCGATTTTTTGACCAATTTGAAGGCCTGTGCTCACTTGTAACAACCTGTAACATTTGTAACAATAATGTGTGGAAATTTCATTTCACTCCAAACTCTCGTAACACTTTTAAAAATGTTGTAACAACTGTGTAACAACATTGTAACATCCATGTAACCTTATTAATTCCGATTTCTGGCCATTTTCAAGGCTTGTGGTGTAACAGTTGTAACAACCAGTAACATTCGTATTGTCAACTGCGTTCAAGATGCGAAGCACTTGGTCCTAGGGAAGATCTCTACGACGAAAGACAGCTTGAGAAGACCAAAATTGCGGCTCTACGATCAGCGACGTTGAAGAAGAACTAAATCCTTCGTTGAAGGCTCTACGACCAGCGACGTAACAGAGGCTGATAGTCTTGCACATAAGGCAAATCCGGCGTCCAGTATAAACAAAACTAAAATCCCACAACTTGATAAACATGAGTCCGAATAATTTGATCTGAACGTTTGGACACATATAACAAATTCAAAGATTTAAATTGCTCATGGTAAATATGATTTCATTCTGGACAAACCTTATCAACGTATTTTATATACTTTTCTTTTTCATAGAAACATTTACCTTGATTTTGCATGAAGACCATTGAATCGCAAGAAAGTGATGCACCAAGATAATTTACTACACAAGTAAAAATGCACAACATGTAAAACGTATGTGACACTCATATTTTTCATATGGAAGAAACATATAGTGTCTCCAAGAAAGGTACCCGGTATGTTTTATATATGGTGCAAATACATGTCTTTCATATGTTTTTCATATGAATAACATATATTTTTCATATGGTAAGAAACATAGTTCCTCAAAGAAAAAGCGCACTCTATGTTACAAATATGGTATAGACTTATGTTTTTTCACATATGGATTCACATGAATATTCATTGCCTATGTGTGAGCGAGAACTTTTTCAACGTGTTTTTTCTTTTTGTTTTCTTTTTCTTTTCTTAATAATTAACTTTATTGATTTGTAGCTAAATATGTATGTTCATATAAACTTGTTAATTTAGATTATCACATACCCGTGCCGTTTTGCGACTCCGTAAAATGGTATTGCACGGTCGTGCATATGTTTTGACGTGACGTCATTTGCGCTATATAAACATAAACTTGAGACGCGCTAAATATTAGCATTACACTATACACGCGTCAATGAAAATTGGCGTTTTTCACTTTAAACGGTCTATATTTTTTGGTATGTGATAAATAGAACATTAAATTAGAGTAATTTCATTACTGAATTTATTGAACGAGTTGAATAAAATAATATTATGCTCGCCAGAGGCTCGCAAAATATGATTTTATTCAACTCGTTCAATAAATTCAGTATTAAACTTACACTCATACAATATCCTCCATTTATTTCAAATTCTACATAGTAAATAAAAATGATATATACAATCAATCAACTACCGCTTTTAATATAGGAGTCGTTTTGTTAATAATTCCATGGAGAAAATACAGACAAACTCAAACATTTGGTAATTTTAGCACTAACATATGTGTATACATAAATCACAAATGAAGAACGGTTATTATTTAAACATTGATCAATTAATGCACACAGGTACATGAAGTACTTTATGGGTTATTTCAGAATATTTTACATGGATTTGTCCTAAAATCCTCAGTGACAAAGTTCTACAGAAAATGGGCCCGGGTTGATATTACCAAAATCATGCACATCCATTCTTTTTCAGAAAATTGCAACATTGAAGAAATTCAGCGGATCTACGAAAACAATGTGCACTCTATATTATTTAAATTGAATGATTTGATCGATTTGGAATTTTGGTTTTTGATTGTTAAATTTAGAAACACTAACATAAACAAAGGAAGAATAAATCATGAATGCAAATTAGTGGCAGACTATTCTTCCCCTAACTAGTTCATCTCCCTACGATTCACCCATAATTAAACCGTTACTTCCCCAAACAGTTCTCCCCTAAATTTAAAATATGATCAGCTGTCCCTCAAAAAAAAAAAGATGTATATAATTTATTTATTTTCATTTTTGTATGAAGATTGTTGGTTTTTAACATGATTTGACATATTGGACGTGAAGGCAACTTTTTCCCCATACATTTACTAGATTCACAAGCATATAGATGCGTGAACCAGGAATAGTTTAAGAATTTATGAACAATCATGTAGAATCTAATTGAGACTGTTCAAAGTGTTAAGTTTGCAGAATATATTATACATAAAATTATCATGTAAAAGCATATGAAAGTTCACATATATATATATATATATATATATATATATATATATATATATATATATATATATATATATATATATATATATATAACATATTAAACTTATTCATATGAAAAACATGTGATAACCATGTTTGTTGACACATGTTTTTCATATGATTCTGTTTGACTCATGTTTTTCAAAACATATGAAACACATATGTTTTATATATGGAAAACATATGGTGTACCAAACATACAACAAACATGTGGTGCATTTTTAACTGTGTAATGAGGCTGGCCCAATGGCCTGACCAGAACAGGATGCATTCAAGTTTGCTTTTTGTCTAAGTTAGTGATTTAAATAATTGAATAGGATTCATCTAAATGTATTGACAAACTCAATTTCCTTATTAAAGCATGTTCAGATTTAGATTTTTAACGGCAACAATAACGCATATACCAGAATAATCTGCAGACATATCATTTACAAAGATTAAAAACAAAAAAGGCCCTTAGATCGAGGAATACCACAAGAAAAATTGGTGTAAAAGTAAACAGTTCCTGACGCATCAACCAGTTGCTGTGGGTCAGACTTTAAATACCTTAAGGATTGTTACCAATACCATATAAGCTTACAATTTCATTAAAAACATACTATGGTGTACAATATCATATGCCTTTTATAAATCCTGCAGGGTCATACCGACAAGATTGTCTACATCTTAACTTAATACAATCTGGCAAATGAACAAGACATATGTTTCTGTTGAGAAGCCTCGTCCTTAACCAGACAAAAACTTTTATATTATAGATACTAAACGATAGGCTCCAACTTTATTTTATTCTTCTTTTTTAGCCTTTTTTTTATAAAGGGAACCTTTAGGCCATTAGGAAACACACCTTATATCAGGGATAGATTGGTAACATGTGTAATTAAGGAGACAAGCTATAATGAGAGTACTGTTCCCGACAAAAAATAAAGGTTATACACCACGGAACTTTATAACACTGAATTTGTTCAGCAAGCATTTTGTTGAAAGAAGAATCTTGTATTGTAAAACTTACAGGTTCAATGTTAAAAGAAAATCAATACTTGAAACCAATTTATAATGAAAAATATGAACACCTCATTACATGTTGTGTCAATATTTTCTATCCCACCCCTAGTATTCATACAATTTCCCTTTTTGAGAATCTGAAGGCAAAATAATTTTCCTTCAATATTGTTTATCATTGTGGTCAGAATACTCTTTGGGTTACTGAAACGGGTCCTTCAGCGATACAAATACGAGATATTGTTAAAAGTTCATCTACATGACACTGCTTAACAGTCAATTCTAATTATGACTAGCCGGCGATAAATCAAATCAGTATGATGGTCGTTACATAGTTACATACGATATAACCACATGTTTTAACTTTCATCGCCCTAAATTGCAACAAGTGTCAACAAAATACAGTTTAAATAGTAAGTTTCTTAGTTTTCCACGATCCCGGATCCCGGGCGTTCCGGATACCGGGATTTACCCCCACCCTGATACCAGTCTAATTTAATCACGTGATATCCGGTGAAAAATTTGAAGCGGGTAAATGTAAATCATAGTAAGCCGTTAAATTCTTACTATTTTGTTTATTAGTGATGTATGCTATTTTACTCAGCTTCTAAATGCAGCTATAATTTATTTCGACTGATCAGTTTCATCAAGTGATCTGATGTTTGATGTGCTAACTTCTACTAGACAGCTAGAGGTGTTTTGCCAGACCCGTGTTTTGCCGTTGAAAAACGGTGGAAACTCAAAGGTATGCATAGGCTTTTTTCCCCGGCTATATCCTGGAATAGACTCCGCGGTCTAAACCAGTTGTATATTTTAGAGGCAATAATGAACTTAATGTTTTTTTTGTCTTCAAATCTCTGATTGATCAGTTTTGGACTATGGTCCATTTTGGAATGCATCTAAAAAAAGATGTTGCAAATTATATGCTAAAATAAAGTCGAGCGTAGAAGTACAAAAATTGTACCATGTTTATGACGATGGCTTAAATAGTTTGAATCTGCCAACTCGATATGGTTGGCTCTCTTCGAGTCACAGGTATGTTAAAATCTCGAATGACTGTTTGAATGCTGAAAAAAATAATGCCAGCTCAACTAGTCCTGTGGTCAGCTTGTCACCTAGTGGGTCAACTTGTCCCCTACTTTTGGTCTACACGTCATCAACATGTCAACTCGTCCCTAATGCACGAATTCGAAAACCTGGCTTAATGCCATTTTCAAGTCACTGTCATCAAACCACTGTGATAGAATCGAAATAACATTGTCCTGAGAGGTGTATATCGGCTATTTAACACCGGTTTTGTCGTTTTGATGCGAAAAAATTAACCACTCAGGCCTACGGCCTTCGTGGACAATTCCTACGCATCAAAACTCCAAACCGGTGTTAAATAAATGATATACACCTCTCAGGCCGATGTTATTTCTTAAATATTCATAAATGACATTTGCGTCATAATTTTATTGTATGACAATATTGAAAAAATGATGATAAAAATACTTTATTTATATGAACCATGTCTACTTTGCCTTTAATTACTATATAACATAAGATCGACGAAATCACTTTCGCACCTCTTCATAAATTAAGTTCGACGAAACCACAATAATTCCATACACTTATATTCAGGGATTTTTTCCCCGATATAAGTGGTACCGAATAACGGACCCATTCACAATCACAATTGGACAAACGGACCTTCACAATTTTCAGACTGGGTCCGACGGAGCCATTCACAATTCTGATGGAATTTCACAATTCTGATTAATTAAGCCTTTAATAACGTATTATTGCCTCTCTTCTCATAATGATGCTAAAATTTTGCCTGTTGTGCTTTGTGTATCTTAAAATGCTTTTAGTCAACCGTGATTTCAGGTGCATTCGCCCTTTAAATTTTCATACTGTTTAAATATGAAACTTCGAGGGAAGAATCAATACTGAAACAAGCGTCTGGTAATTTCTGTAAACATCATTCAAATTGTAACAGTAAATATTACATATTAAAAAAATTATATAGAGCAGGGCTCATCCGGAAGGGCGATTCAGGCGAAAACTTCGCCGTGTATATTCCAATTTCGCTCTCCCGATTGATCAAAGAGAAGTCAACATCGCCGATAAAATCTTAATTCCCAAATAGTAATTACTTAGCGATGTAAAGAGCAGAGATTGTATCCGCCCATATGACGACCGCTAATTATCATTATCCAATCAGAGCGTCGCTTTATACTACCCTTCTACCTGTAAGCCAAGCGATAGACCGCCTACTCTAAACAGTAAAGAATGAGAGCATCGGTCCGAAACGGTATAATTGTGTGATAGTTTTGCGAGTTTAATATGGGATTTGGCGATAGTTATCTAAACATGTGCAATCTTCCCTAATTGATATAAACGATGCACTTCGATGGCGGGTTTTTAACCCGAGTAAAGGCGATGTGCAATGGATTTTTCACGGCTATCACAAAACTGTTAGTCAATTAAAAATAATCAATTTCATTAATGATCAGCGACCGGATTAAAAACTTAATCATAGTCTTGAATGATTTCAGTCTGTTAACATCAATTTTTACTGTAAAATTGTTATGTCGCTCACGTCATGGCTACAAGGCGAAACCGAGCAACTTAAGAAAGTTACTGATTCTGATAGTTACACCTACGCGAAAATTTAAGAAAGCCAATTCGCAAAAATCTTGCAATTGGTATGTTGTAGACAGTGGGGCTGTTTGGCATTAAATGCCAAATTTTACACAGTTTACGCACGTGGGCACGACATCCCGGCTAAACTACATATCGGTCGTATATCATGTAACGTATATAACAACAAAATTTGTCAGGAAAGAAGTGTTCTTTTTGTTTCAATATATATTTGTTTTAATGTCGTAAATATGACGCTCAGATTAAGATTATCAATATTGTAAATGTTAAAAAGCATTATTCTAATATAAAGATATTACCGAATTTAACATTCATGAAAATAAAGGGAGGTAATTAGAAATTAATTTTCTACAATTTCTCAGTCAAAGTTTTCAATAAGAAATGAATGTATGTAATTTTAGTGATCAAATATAACGTGCACAAATGTTTGCAGTACATGTTTAACATATTCTTTGATGTTTGAAAATTGTTTTATAAGCATAATTATATGCATATAAATATGACATTACAACATTTTGGAATTTGAAAGAAAATTCTGTTACCAGAACAGAATAGAACAGATATTATTAATCAATATCCAATGTGATTTCATCTTCTATTAAAAGTGAGGAAAGTAAAAAATATATAATTGATTTTTATCATCATATCTTTCTTACACATTAACTTAAACAAATCTACTTGAAAATATATTAACACATATTTAGAGAAAGCTTATAAATAGCTGATCAATAGATATCAAAAATAATTTTTTATTCATATTTGCAGGTCAAAAACATTTAGATGTCATTGCCAGATCTACTATAAATTAATCTACTATTAATTAATACTACTATTTATTAATCTACTATTAATTAATAAACTGGAGAAATATTATATGTGATGTTAATTGTGTTTATATAATAATTAAAGGATGTATAGCCATGCATGTTAATGCATACACATTGGGTTGTTTCCATTCTCCCTAATTTTCGTGAGGAAGTCACTTCTCCCTAAAATTTCCCCCCAGGATGAGCCCTGTAGAGGATATTTGTTTAGTTCAGTGTAAGATCGGAATATATTTCACCGAGTGAGCAGACTGAGCACCAAAAGGTATATTTCACGAGTGGCGCAGCCACGAGTGAAATATAAACTTTTGGTGTTCACAAGGTGAAATATATTTCGAATTTCTCTAAACTAAACAAATTTTCTTTTTATTATATGCAAAGAAACGTTTTAAAAAGACATTAAATCTAATACTGAAAGTCTGAATGAAAAGCTCGCCAAATAATAATACAACGTGACGTCATTTACGTCACATCATTAAGTTGGTACCCAGTTCTGTGCACGCTTGTATTTCACTGAAACAACGTAAGGGGCTTAAATTCAAAACAGTGAAATTATCAAAGTGGTAATATCACTGTTTCAAACAGTGAATTTACCAGTTTTATATCACTGAAATATTTCTATAAACCACAGGAAAAGCATGTTATAAATGTTCTTACTGCTTAATGAGATATTAACAATCTTAATTAAAAAATTCACAATTTGTTAAGAAACAACACTTTTTTTCACAATTTTTATGGTAGTGGTACCGGACCCATTCACAATTCAGGGGAAAAAATCGGAGATATTCCACTTACAAAAAAGTGGTCAAATCGATGGATTTTGCTTTTTAGAAACAACGTAAATTTTCACTTTTTTTCTGTAAGAGTTCAGGGATTTTTTTAAGGATTTTGGGAACATGACCCATGCCCATGGAATTGGGAATTTCAGCAGAGTTTTGTTAAAAATTAGGAAAAGGGGAAGACGCTGGATGCTGGTAGGGAGGTGAAAAATATACGAAAAAAGCCAATTTGGTGAAAATTAAATTGTAAACAGAAAATCCTGTTATACATACTTTATGCTTAACTACATAGTAGAGATTCACAGCAACATCTGTTTTTCCTTATATACTTTATCATCATGCAAAGTATTATTATTTGCAGTACAACATCTTAATATGTGTGGTGGTGAATGATTTTATTTTATACTTTCTTACTTTACTAAAAAAATAACCAAGAAAATGATGATGTTTTGATAGCATTTGCTTTCCGGAAATAGTACCGTTCTGTACGGAAAATAACAAAGAAAAAAATGGCGGCCCCCATGTTCATACACTATTTGAAGTTTTCTGCAATGTTTTTGGATATTTTGGACAACAATTTGTTGGTTTCATTTGCTGAAATGGAAAAACTTATATTTTTTACCTTTTATGTATTTAATCCCTTAACAGTTCAAAGGGAAAATAGAATTTTTTGGGAAAAAACTTGGCAATTTACTGAGGGGAAGACGCCGACAACGGTGTCAATTTGTGAGTAAAATACCCTGAAGATATACAGGAATAATGACAAACATCACTGTGAAGCTATACAATAATCGCTTAATAGATTGAAAATGCAGGGAGAAAATGATTGGGAGAAATTCAAAGGCTGCTTGTAAGTTTTTGTGCTATTAAGGACTGTCATTGCAGTATTTATCATCATATTACTACTGCAATACTAATGCAATAAGGAGTCTTTTTTGCTTATTTTTGACCTCCTTTTTTGTGTCGCCTTGAAAAAGCCGACATATAGGGGTTACTTTGGTCTGCAGCGTCTGTGTCGGCGTCGTCCATGTCCCCTTAAGCTTGTCTGGAGCATAAGTCAGGCATTAGTCGGATTGACTTCAAACTTGGTATGCATGCTTCTTATAATGACCCGAAGTGCAGTGCACAAGAACTGGTACTCTGCATTTCTTATATTTTGAATTATTGCCCTTTGTTAATTTTCATACTTTATTTTTGTCCAGACCATTTCTCCTGAAGTATATTGTTTACAAGGCGACACATCCGACTTGCGTAGTTCTAGTGGTAATTTACATGAATAACAAGTAGTATTTGCAAGGAATAAAGTATCCCTTTACTCCATAGAACCATGCTTTGCCATGTTTATCTATTTCTTCTCAATACCGTGATATGACTTGTTAGACACTTTCTTCATAATACCGGCATTAAGCGGGTCGGTCATTTCCCTGTAACAGAGTATTGACCTGGTCTAATTTATAAACCATTATTGTCACATTTTTCTCAATTAAATTGTCTCAGAAATACAACTGTCGTAAACATTAACCATTTTTAAGGGTATTTCATGATGACTATTTATAGATTTTCAGAAATTAAAATAAACAACACCTGGCAAAGGTCACGTAGACCTCATGGAAATTTACTGCTTCCCAATTTTTTGTAAGAGGTGTGAGGCTATAATTTGACACCTAGTTTTCATGAAACAAAGCAAAGAACTATAAATCGTGTGAAAGATTAATTAGAATAAATAATACAAAATCTCCGTTTATTAAAATTTGTAAGAAAAAAATAATTACAGTATAGCTGAAAAAGTGCATCGTCAAAGACTAACATTGCAGAAAAAAGTGTAACATTATTTAGTGCTTAAAACCTTTAGATGTCTGTGGTGAAATAAGGTCAGATGGCTGGTATTTTTCGGAAAAGTAATGTCTGGGTCATTCAGTTCTTTTTTATGTGGGAAGAAAATTGTTTGAGTCATTTTAATCTGCAATGACTGTACCAATCGTCTTTGATGCTTAGACTAGGGTGCATGTAGGAACAATGTCCTGTTTATTGAACCATTTAGCCCCTTAAAAAGACAAGTCTTGCACCAATCCACAGTTGATACTGGAAATATTTGACATAATATTACATAATTTGGTCAGCGACTTACTGTCCCTTCAGATATTGTTTTGATAGTGCATAGTACTTACAAGCAGCCACAAATGTGTGAATATGTAATGAGATGGGGTGGGGGGATAAAAATACAGAGGGGCCAATCAATTATTAATTAATTTTTCCAGCCAATCATAAGAAAATTTATTATCCAATCAATTGAAAAAAACAATCTAACTTTACCATAGCAATTAAAATTTTAATCAGTTCGTTTGAGAACATCAGATCATTACCAGTACACATTATTTTTATTGGTTAAAAAATTACAATTCATTTTCATCATAATGTCCAACTTAAAAAAAAAAAAATTGAATTTATTTATTTTTGTGTTATTCCTTGCTCATATTATCATTAAACTCATTCTCAGTTTATATGCTGATTTTATATACATTGAAAATATAATGGTAATAAATTAAAATGATTTGACAGACCAAGTATGAAATGAAATGAAAAAGAAATTAAGATAATTATTGTTTACAATGGATGTGTCTTAATTATGTTTGTGTCTTAATTATGTTCCCGCAACTGCCATCTTTATGCATCTACAAATATAAAAATTGTATCATTAAAAGGAAAATTTAAATCTGCACAAAACTTATATTTACACTTTTTCATGTCAGGTTAGTAGAGAATTATGAGGCCAAACATATAAGGTGTCAAAATAGTAATAAATACTAAGGGTGTAACGGTTTACCGGAATACCGATATATTGCAATATGAAAAAATAAATTTCGTACCGCGGTACGATTTTTGGAAAACCGGTATTTTATAAAACTCATAATTTTCAATTAATTGCCTTCTAATTTTGTACAAATTTCACATAAAATCTTTAATTTGCGAACTTTGTTGGCGCCAACGTAAGATAAAAGTATCCGACAACTAGTACACTTAAAAGTCAATAAGCGGCCAAATAATTTACATAAGCGGCCCAGATGTGAATGGTCACAAGCGACTAGTTTTGTTTATCAAATTGTGTGACACTTTACTTTCTATTTATTCCTTACATTTTTATTAAGTTTCTACTAAAATATATACATAATTTACATATAACAATAATATATGAATGTTACTACATCTTAACATCAAAACATATACACGACAATACGTATTGCAATATATTGCAATACGCTTTAGCAAAATGGCAATATATTGCAATACGGTTTTTGCTGTATTGTTACACCCCTAATAAATACCAAATATATATATGAAAATGGACTGTACACTGTTGTCAGGTAGTGTAGTGGATCAATAATCCAGATATCATAAGCCTATCTGGTCAGTTGCCTATGAAGTAAAGGGTTATTTTCTTTGTTCACTTTACACTATTTTATTTTAAAATTCTTGAAATTTAGCATAAAGTTTATAGACATGCTGCTTTAAGGGACCAAAAGCCCTGTAATACTATGATAACAACAAACTTTTACTTGAATGTTGCAGCTAGTATCATGCAGACCCCAGTCAAACTATCTGTTGAAGAGTTCAGGAGGTCATTTTGGTCAAGGTCTCCTAGCCCCTCAAGGCCTACAATTGCTTCGGTTTGTCAGTCTCCAACTGTTACACCTAAAAGGTCATTTTGGACACGATCCCCAAGTCCTCAGAGATCAACAATATGCTCAGAGAAAGATTCCTTACAGCTACCAGTGGTGTCCAAAAAGTCTTTATGGTCAAAAGGGCAAACTTGTTCTGTGTCAACAACTCCTAAGAGAAGGCCAAAGGAACAAATAAGTGGTACAACGGAAAAAGCACTGAAAATTGAACATAACAGTTTCATAGATTTTCAAGACAGTGTTAAAAAGTCAGATATTTGTACAAGTTCAGGATGTGATAATGAAATTGCAGCAAGATGTATTGCCAAATATGGCTTAGATACGTTTATGTGTGCTTTAAGTGCAAATCAGCATGTACCAGTTCTATTTTATGACCGCATGAGATATATCATAAATATAATAAAAGAGGTGAACAGTCAACTGAATGATAACAAAATCATTGACTTAGTAAATGCTGTCTCTTGCATCAAATCAGATTGGAGTATGGATGAAAGCAATTTCAAAAAAATATTGTGGAAAGCATCTTTTAAGCACAAAGAACCTTATTTAAACTTTATTGTGCCAAAGGTGACTCAGTGCATATGGAATGAATGTAATGGAAATGTTTATCCTAAATGCAAGTCTGGAGTTACATTGTATAAGATGACTGGACCTGAACCTGCTCTGAAATCCACACTGCGCTGTAGGTCATGCTCCATACATTACAACGTAAATTTCTTCACTGTTCCAAATGTTGGAAGAAAACTGTACACTGGAAATAATGTCTCTGATCTGAAGAATTCATCCACATGGTCATACTTCAGTCAGTATGCATTTGAATTTATGTGCGAATCAGGGTAGGAAAATACATTATATAATTATTAGTCAGTAATGTCTGTTGTTTTCTTATTGAAAGGAAATTTGGATAAGTTTGTGAATATTTTTTCTAAAAACTTCTGATTAACATTTAATTCTATACCAATTTTTGTAACACTCTGAAATACTGCCTATGTGAAAATTGTGAAACACTCATAGTTTGTATTTGTTTAATGCACAAAAAAGTTCATGGTTAGTGCTAATGACTGGGGTTTTCAAAATTATGAAAGAAAAACACGAAAAAAATATTAATTTTTAGAATAACAGTGATTTTTTTCCTGTATTTTTACAGCCGAATAAAGGCTGTTTCCCCTAGCTCAAAATAGGTATATTTTCCCCTAAAAAAGCTAATATTTTCCCCGGAAATGCCACGTGCACTTCTTCACCAGAACAATGACTAATATATCAGCTAGAAGACAGAAATCTGTCCCTATAGCCTCTGCTATGTACCATGTATGTTAAATTGAATTAAAATTGAAAAATTTATAAAATGTGTGGGTAAATTCAATTCTCAGTTGTTGGAATTCAATTTTCCCCTTTTCTGATTTATCACGCTAAATTTTCCCCTTTAGAAAGCCACAGGTTGTTTTGAAAATTGGGAAAAAAATCACTGAATAAGTATATCTATTGTAGCCACCCGAGCGTCGGTGCTGGCGTAACCACTTACAATATATGTTTAAATTTTTGTAATACCTCAAATATTGTCAAAGTCCATCAACATATGGCTTTGAAACTTTGCACACTTGTTCACCAGCATGAACCTAATTGTAAACAGGAGGAGGTAACTGTATCAAGCATTTTGACAGAATTATGCCCCTTTTTCGACTTAGAATTTACCTTAAAGTTTTTGTAATACCTCAAATATTTTCAAAGTCCATAGACATATGGCTTTGAAACAAGTTGAAGTTTTATACTCTTCTTTGAGAGCATAATAGGACTCTCTCCAAGTCCTTTAACTGTAATATGGATTTAAAGAAAAAATTTGCCCTTTTGTTTACTTAGGAAATTTTACATTAATAAGGCTTTTTTATTATCAAGCACAAAGAATAGTAGAGTGTTGCTGTCCTACCGACAGCTCTTGTTAAACTTATTCTACCTGGCAATGAGATTTCATGTGTAATATATATGTGTCCAGATTTTGATCTAGTGATAATGATATTTATCCATCTGTTATAGGAATCATGCATTTGTGTCACATAAAGCATTTGCAGAGATATACAATAGTGTGTTCAATGAGGAAAGAAACCAGGAATTTTATAAATGGCAAAAGCTATTTTCCTCAAAACCAAGTAAGTGCCTTTCATTGTGTCAATCAATTTGTCTTTGATTTTGTCTTACATATTAATCAGTGGAAAATCTACAAAGTGGATGACAGCTGTGTTTACATTTCAAAAAAACTGGAAGTTTAAATAAATTAGAAATAAGGGTTTCATGTAAGCTGTTTGCAACTTGCATTACTTTTAATTTCATTATGATTGTAATTATTTTAGGTAGTTGACTAGTTATGTTTAAATGTCTTTTTAGCTCACCTGAGCTAGCTCTTTTTTAGTGGTTAAGTCACATGTGTAATGATTATGTCACATGTCTAAATATAGGACATCAACAGTGAATTTATTGCATAATCATACACTGTTTGTAACAGGGAAAAATGCAAGTTGTGTTTGAAATTGTGATATTCAATGACATAGTTATATCAGAAATTATATGTTTTTTTATGTCTTTTGTAACAGGTTTGGAAGAGTCACAAGAGTCAGAGCATGATGCTGATGATTTAGGTAATCAACATGAATTTCATTTAAGTATTAATTGGTGATGATATCTTGATGATAACTTTTTATACCCCTGCACAACAAAGTTGTAAGGGGGGTATACTGGAATCAGCTTTTCCGGCCGTCCGTCTTTTTTTTCTTGTCCGCCCAATAACTTAAGATTCCTTTGACCCTTAGTCTTCATATTTGTCATGGAGGTTAGGCATGATTAGTAGATGACCCCTATTGATTTTGAGGGCACTAGGTCAAAGGTCAAGGTCACAGGGGCCTTGACTTCAAAAAGCTTGTCTGCCCAATAACTTAAGATTCCTTTAACCCTAAGGCTTCATATTTGGCATGGAGGTTAGTCGTGATTAGTAGATGACCCCTATTGATTTTGAGGTCAAAGGTCAAGGTCACAGGGACTTTGACTTCAAAAAGTTTGTCTGCCCAATAACTTTAGATTCCTTTGACCCACAGTCTTCATATTTGGCATGGATGTTGATCATGATTAGTAGATGACCCCTTTTGATTTTGAGGTCACTGGATCAAAGGTCAAGGTCATAGGGACTTTAACTTCAAAAGGTTTGTCCACCCATTAACTTAAGATTCCTTTGACCCACAGTCTTCATATTTGGCATGGATGTTGATCATGACTATAAGGTGACCCCTATTGATTTTGAGGTCACTGGGTCAAAGGTCAAGGTCACAGGGACCTTGACAAAAAAAATGCTTTTCTTCTTAATTGCTAAAGAATGTCCTGTCCGCAATGTATTGATTTTGACATTTTCACATTTGAAGCATGTAGAATACATAACTTAGCAATGCACTGGCTTAGTAACCTCAGATTTGGCGGGGAGGTTGTCTTTGAGCTTTAAATGGCCACTGTTGATTCTGACAAAGTGGTATGCGGGGGTATTCACGCCATGATAGTGGCAGTTCTAGTTTAAAAAGTGTTAACTCTTTTCAAGGCCTTTTTAACCTTCTTTGCTGTAGCCGGTATCCGGCTACTTCCCCAAGCTGAATTACTACATTTTTTTCTCGAAAAAAAACAGTCAAAAATTCCCCTTTTGCAAATATTTACCCTTTTAAAAGAAAGATAAATCGAAGGACAAACACTCGCTTAAAAATAGATTATTGTTTTCGTCCAATGAGTGCTAATAATTCAATTACCCACTAGAGGGATACCTTGATTTAATACAATTGATGTTAACTCACAGTCTCAATCTGATATTGCAATTTTCCAAAAACAGCATGGGAAAAACCTGAAAAAATTTGAAGAATGAATTTGATGACCCTTCTGTAAATGCAAGTTTCCGCTCACAAGCCCATGTCTGAGTAGCACAACATGGGCAAGTGTCAGAAAAACAGAGCCTATAGTGCAACATAATGACAATGTGTCAGTAATAGTGATACAGCGGGAAATGATAATTTGTACCTCCTGTGTCAAAGCATGTACCCTCACATGACCTACGCAAAACTAGGAAATATTAATATTGCTATGCTATTAAAGCAAAAAATGTTATTTCAAAAGTTTCAACAATCAATGGAATTTATTTATAGTGTCTGAAAGTGACATTAAAATAACAATGAATTCAGTTTATGTTTTGATCAAAACCGACCAATGAGAAATTACAGTTATGTTGTCGCACCACCATTATGGCAGGTACTTCTGTTAAGCACTTTCGCCTTCTATGTTGCTGAAAAAAATTAACAATCCTGCAATAAGAAAACTGAATAGCAGTGTTACTGTAATCAACAGGTTTTTCTTCACTACTTTCCCTTTTCAAAAAAAATTCTTGTGCTCGCCCACTAAGTAGATTCTTGAGTGTTGTTAGTCAGCATTGATTCCTTTTGTAAATGCATATAAGGAATAATGGACTTTGATCCTCCTAAAAATTCTTTGATTAACAGAATTTCTTTACAATTTGTTTAGAACTTTAAATTTTGATATGTACTTGATGGTCAGTCAATGACACTATATTTCTGATTTTTTATTTACAGACTCAGAAGTTCTCTTTAGCAGTATGTCTAGAAAGATGGCAATGAATGCTTTTATCAATGGAGAATTGGAAAATGAACTTCAAGAAAGAAATCTGACAGATGAAATTACTATAAATAAAACACATACAAGGGAAATGGTTTTGAAAGACATAGATGATCGTCGTGTAAAGGAGCTGTATCAACATGAGTGCTCATGTTTATGTAGAAGTAAAGGTCTGTTGTTTCAATAATGTTTTTCGCTGCTTTGGCTTTTCTTATGTAAAGTGTGGCTATATTTATTGATGAACTGTACTGTTTTACCACATACATATGCACATGTTTTATTGTATTAAACAGTAATAAACGTTTCATATTATTGTAATGTAATAACATTTCTTTTACGCGCGAAATTTGACGTCTAGTAACGTAGACGTCTGTTTTGTACTTTTACGTCATTTCCTTTATGTATCAACTGAGGAAGCTAAATAAAGGGAAACATGTTTTGATCTTTAATTTGTGTTAGTTTTTGATCCAATTGTCTTATTGAGTAATTCAATAAAACTTCATCAATGGTCAACCACATTGAAAGGAAATGCAACATACAAGAACCACAACTATCTTTAATTGCCCACAACCATAACTCTACTGCAGTTCTTTTGCAAGGTATTCTGTTACTAGTAAACTTCCTCATTTCCGAAGAAGTCTTGCGGGGGTATTTATCACATTTAGTGATAGTTTAGTTATTATTTAAATTGAAAATCCTATAAGTGTGTCTTTTAATTTGAGTTTGCTTACCTTTATTCACTACAATCTTTTAATGATAATTCTTTTAATAATCTATAATAGGATGTTCAAACTTGCGTGTGATAGATGCTTGCTGGAAGCTGAACATGTTTCATTGCCTCATGGCAGTCCCACAAAAGGCAGATGGCTACCCTTTGTTATCTTTACCAAATGTGTGTATAAGAGAACCAAAACCAGGTTCAGTGTTTTGCCGGCAGCACCATGAACTTCTTACAAAACACCACATTCCAGTGAAGAAGGAGAAATTTTTAAAACATGTTGGATGTACTGGTTTGTATTTTCAAAATTTTGACTTGATAAGTTTATTTTGAAAAGTTACACACAGTAATATTGTTTAACAATATATGTCATTCCCCATACTCTGCTTCTTTGATAAATCCATTATTTTAATTAATAATCAAGACACAATTCAATTTTGTACAGAGCATATGTTCTACATGCATGTGTGGACTTAAATTGATATAAAAGCTCAAAACTATGTGACAGTGTAAAGCATGTGAACCAGGTCCTAGATCAAAAGTCATGGTGTCACTACAAGAACGGAGGAAATGTGTATCTGAAGCAAAGCTTCTACATGCATTGGAGCATTTAATATAAATTGGCACAAATATAGGTCACTATTTAGGTCAAAAGTTTGATAATAATGAAAATGTGTTGTAGGGCTGTAACCAATGTCCAAACTCTGGGTACATCGCGAATGTGTCATGAATTTCAGACAAGAATATTTGCGTCCCTTTGTATTGCCAGATTCACAATTATTTTGTAATCATAACTGAAAGAGAAATTCTGATATAGGTTTTGCTTTAAATCTTATATTATTATGCTTATAAAACATATGTTTTAAAATAATCATCGTATTTTCATAGCGTATCCGAATATTATATATCCGAAAATAAACATCTATGCTTTGGTAGTTTAGCACGGATGAAGGTAGTCTAGTACTGGTTAACTATCCAGGAAGGATGGATAGGAAACTACCCGCCTATATGACTGAAATACTGTTGGAAAAAGGCTTAAAATGAAACAAACCAAACAAACAAGCAACAAGAAGTTTCGCTTTAACTTCAACACAAGAAAAATTACCAATAATGAAATAATCTTAATGTTTATTTGTACCGTTAGTCGATAAAGGCAATGAATATCTTATTCTATAAATTGAATTAAAAAAAGTATTAATACGATGACGCTAAACACAATATGGCAAGTGTTAAAGCTAACTTGTAAACAAACACTTGCCTTCATAAATGGCAGTAAGTTTTAGATACTTAGTTCTAGCCAGTTATAATTTTGAAAGTGTTCTTGTTTCTTGTCATTGAGATTTTATAACCTGTTTGTGATACTTAACCTGTCCCTACCTTCAAGGTCAAGGTTACACTTATAGTTTGAAGGTACTCATTCTCACGAGAAGAGTTTGAAGATACACATTCATTTCCAGACTGTAACTTTGTCATACAAAGAAGGAATTTCATATAACTTGGCACAACCGTGTCGCGGCTAAGGCTGATGTCCGTCTGTGTGTCCCCACATACACAACAATCATGTCCAGACTGTAACTTTGTCATGCATTAGGGGATTTTGAAATAATTTGGCACAAATGTCTATCAAATAAAACAACATTTTGTTGCATCCAGAAACTACGCCTCTTCTTCAAAGGTCAAGGTCACACTTATATTTTAAAGGTTCACACTATCACAATTAAAGATTACAGGTACAATAATACAAAGAACAATATTAAACAATTAGTTACTTTCATTCACTTTTCTTTTCATAATACCTGCATGCTTAAGAGACCTTTTCGGGGACATTCGTCACTTGGGTGACTGCTCTTGTGTATTATTAAATACATTGCATTTGTATTGATCTTGTGACCAAATTAAGACAGGACATTTTTAACGACTTTGTCATTATATTTTCTGCTGCATATTTAGTTTCAGATACCAATAAGCAGGTGGAGGAAAAGCTGTTGCTTTTTGCCAACGATCTTGTATCTAAAGACCCAGCTGCTTGTGTTGGCTTATCAGCTTTACAATATCAAGGTATATATTACAATATAGCCATTTCCCAATAATGAATCGGGCAATTCATCAATTGTAAAGCCACAAGTTTAATTATTAGTCCCCTACCGGTTTAACCGGAGGGGACTTTAGGTTTACCCTCCGTCCGTCTGTCTGTCTGTCCATCTGTCTGTCAGTCAGTCAGTCCACAAAACTGGATCCCGCGATAACGCAAAAAGTACTGAAAATATTTTTATGAAACTTGATATATGGATAGATGGCAGTATGGAGATTATGCACGTCTTTTTCTTTTCTTCCTATGTTGAAAATTCTGGTTGCTATGGCAACAAATAGTCTGAAAATATGGCAAATTTAACACATAAACTGGATCCTGTGATAACTCAAAAAGTACTGAAAATATTTTTATGACACTTAAAATATGGGTAGATGGCAGTCTGCAGATTATGCACATGTTTTTCTTTTCTTCCTATGTTGAAAATATTTTCAGCTTTTTCACTAAGTTCTTTATTTCTTAAGGTGTTTACTTCAAACTTTAAATATAAGTTTCTGGTCATCAACCACATCATATGTGACAAGGTTTACAACTCTAGCACAAAAATTATCAGTATTACCTCCCTTGAACTTAAAATTTTTATGAAAAAAAATGTTGTCTTTTCAAAATAACTTCTTTATTTCCTGATGTTTCTACTTCAAACTTCATATATATGTTTCTTATTATCACTCAACATTTTTGAGAAGGTTAAATACTCTAGCAAGACTATTTCCAGAATTATGTCCCCCTTGAACTTAGATTTTTTTTTCGAGAAATTGGTATTTTTTACTCCAACTTCTTCATTCCTTATAGGATTTACTTTAAAATCCCACATCGTAATAATATGACAAGGTTGTATAAACATAATTTCCTTACTAGGCAGGGAAACTTAACACATTACTACTGTGAAATAGACAAACTTAGAACTCAAAAGATTTAAGTTCATTCATGTCATTCATTCATTGGTAAAATTGAAATCAGAATGTTGCTGGGGTTCTTACCGGTAGGGGACTTATGGATTGCTTGCAATACTATGATAATTGCTTGTTTTAACTACATTATGATTAACAAATATCCTATATGCATTTATTACTAAATGACTTTGAATTAAATGAGTGTATGACAAAAACTCACTTTTAAATCAGCAGACTGAGTCACCCTATTTCATTTTCAAGTGGACAGAAACCCACCATTAAAGGTAAACACACCTTACCTGTAACAAATTGTTTGATGCTCTCAAAATAATAGTATTGATTATAAGTTCCCATAACTATATTGGATAAAAAATGTGGGTATCATAACATTAGATGTAATTTTCTTTGGTGCCGTACCTTATGTATTATGAAAGCTTTTTGAGTGTTGTTCTTTTACTCAGGTAAACCGACATTTGCCCTCTCATGTCTTTGAAACTGACCGACCTTGATGCACTTTAATCCAAGGGCAAATATTCATCAATACAGGGAAGAAATTGTCTGCCCTTCAAAAAATTTAGGGGGGAACATAATTATGTTCTATTGAATAGAGGTGCAACGATACATTCTGATGAATTGAAAAACAGTTTAGTTCGTGCCAATTCAATTCTGATATCAATAAGGGAATTTTGATTTGACTTCCAACAAAATATAAACACAGGAAAAAATGCAAGTATTAGTCCATCTGACTAGACCACTGCTTTATTACATGAAATAAAATCTGTTGATTTAACTCAGTGATCCAATCAGCGAGTGCGTTGTTTTTTGTTGTTTTTTTAAGCAAACCTGATTGGCTTCAATCATCAATGTAGGAAAAATTAATCTAAAAATAGTCCAACAAAACTTGGATAAAAGGTGTGGGAACACTGCCAAAAAAAAATGTCGAGGGCCACACACTTTTACAACAGTTATATGCAGAATTGTCAAGTAAGACAAAATAGTATTTACACAGGATTCGAATCGAAACTGAATTGAATCAGGGTGCCTGAAATTGAATTGAACATTTTGTGAATCCTTACAGCCCTACTTTCATAAAAACTAGGGGCAATTGTCCACCATGTCTTGTTTGTACTTGAAATAATTGAAATAAATGGGTTTGATTTGACTAGAATTAATGCATCTATACATAATGTAATTATCTTGGCATATTAATTGCTGTTATTGAATAGGTTAAACATAATATATCAATGAATTGTGATAATAAACTTGTTTGTCATTATTTGTGATACCATTCCTGTATAATTAGATAGTATCATAATTATGTTAACAGTTTGTAATCCATATCTTTGAAATAAATAAAAAAATATGGGTAATTTGATCTTGTAAAAAAAGATCAAAACAGATTATTTACTATAAATGTTTGTTTTAGTTACTTAAATTATTTTACAAAGTGTCTTTGATCATGATAATTAATTGTATGTTATATTTTATTTTAATATACAATACAATATGATTAAATGATAATAGGCTTTACAACATTACAAACTGTTAAATAAAAATCAAAAGGGCAAACATTCAAATAGTACTTAACTGTTTAATAAAAATCAAAGGGTATGCATTTGGTTATTGTCCACATTTTCAGTTATTTTATTGTCAATCAATAATCCTTGTCTTCCTTTAAGTGAGCATATCTTCCCGGACAGCTGTTTAAGAAAAAGTTAATAACTCTATATTCTTGTTGCAGTGCTTCTGCAAATCTCAGTCAAGATCATTTAGCACATTTTCATTTTAATTCATCATAATTTTTCATGAATGGGTTGGTGTTTGTTCTTTTTTTGTTGTTGTTGTTTTTTTTGAGCTTACAAAATATGTTAAGTGTGCTAGGGAAAAAATCAGCTGGCTGTTTTATTTTAGATTACAGGGTGGTTTACCCTATCTGTTGGTGTAGACCTTATTAAAGGCACATTATGCTAGGAAACAATTAAATTTTTACTTCTTTATAAAGGACAAACATGAACTTTATAATTTTGCAAATAATGGCTTGAAAGACTGTTACATGCTTGTTACCTAAAGAAAGTACCAATAAATGTGAAATAATTTGTCATAAAAGTAGCAAAATAAAAACATTTATGCTGTATTGTTTTAAGAATTACCACCTGTCAAAAATTGTCCATGTCAAAGTTGTAATTTCTGTGTTTATTTGGCAGAAGATAACCTATTGACATTCAAAGCAGGTGCAAATGTGATGGCATTTCATTTTGTGTTAGTTTTAATTGGCACCTACATTATGTAACAGTAATGATGGTCTTTTGTCACACATTCAAAAATAACATTGTTTATATAATTATTTTGTAAACATGAACAAATTAGAATCACACACTAATGGAAAATTGTACATATTTTGATGTCCCTATTTGTGTGCACATTAATAAATTAATATTACATTATGCAATTCTAATAAATGTAATGCCATTGCAACCTAATTAGTTAATTCTCTATCATTATTCATCAGGTTGTTCTATCTATACATTTTTTGATATTACATACTTTAAAGTATTTACAAAATGTATTGGCCTTTAAGGCAGATATTACTACCTTCAAATAAAAAAAAAAATAATAAATTACGCATCTGCAGACCTATATAGCTCCAATCATTAACAAGTAGTATGATTTTACGTTCATGTTAGTACAGAAAGGCTATTGAATCTGGTACTCAGTTACAATGAGTATGTTTAAATCGTTAAATGAGATTTATTACCCTGTAAATATTATCAAAAAAAAAGAAGTATTACTCAATAGTAATGCTTAAATTTTGAGAGCTATTAGAACTGTATTAAGGCCATATTAACTGTACTTGTATAAGAAAATTATCCATGACCCCTTATCTGCTGGCAAATGTACTGATATGAAATTTAAATTTGTGCTGTAATCGAACAAACATTGACCGTTCATTTCTAACAATTTTAATTACTCTACAAATATTTTTTACTTACACTATAATCAGAATGATCTCATAATAGAAAAATATGTTTACTTATTTCCTTATTATATTAAACCATGGTGTTCTTATTAACTTACAATTTCTTTTAGGTACAAATGTTCTTGTGGAGAAAGGGAATCCACTTTTCTGGAATGGTGATGATGATGTAGACAGTAAGTGTAACAAAGATATAGGATTGAAGGGAAAGCTTCGTCAACGTTCAAGAGGTCATTTTATGTGTGTGACTGGTGGTGGTCACATAATGTATTTCAATCCTCTCTTTAAGTGAGTAATTTTCTGTCTGTATGATTTCCCTGCCTTCAATTTAATAAGCACATTTTTCTGGCATTTGTCAATCACATATTGTCAGGTCGTGTCTGTCAGGTCAGGTAATGGTTTTTAAAAAAATGACATGGTACTGAGGTAAGTTATCGGGAAATATGATAAGAAGGATTCTAGAGGACTGACAGAAGAGATACGATATAAAATGAGTTAAATCTTCAAAAATTCAAATTGATGGAAAAATATCTGCTGAAATATTGTTTTTTTTATTCAAAATGTTCTATGAGATATTGAAGTTAACTAAGAATGATATCAAATGGTACAAATTCATTAAATTAAATGTTCTGCATGTTCTTTCACACTTTTTAGTCTCCTTTTTCTAGAATTCATTAAACTAAATATATTTGGAGAACCATGCTTTAAAGGAAAAAAACCTTTATAGAAATATATTGGTACATGTTTCATTCTGAATCGTAAAACTTTTGATATTCAGGCCCCATGTTCATTCAGAAAAGATCCGGATCCGGATCAAGTGATTCTGGTTTCATTTTCATTTACTAAAATTAATTATATTTTGCTAGAATTAAATGATACATATTAAAAATGCCAAAAAATGCTGATTTGCAAAGAAACCAACCTATTTCAGGACAAAATCAACAAATAACAAAACAAATACAAAAAAATTTGGGATTTTTTAACATAAGGTTCAATTTTAGGATCAGGATGAATATTTTGATCAACTGTAAAATGCCTTTATCTTTCAAAAATAACAAGTTCATTTTAGAATTTCAATAACTTGCTATTGCGAGTCCAGTTTATCAAATTAATATTAGATATTTTATATATGAGGATAAATAATGAAGAATACTTGAGTTTTTAAATTTGATCCTGATCTTGATCCTTAAATTTTTATGAACACGGAGCCATATTGCAATGAACTGATAATTATTCCCAATTATGTGATTTTACAAAACTGGGCCAAGTATTAATTCCCAAAATGGCTTATAAAAAGTCTCATCCTCAGCTCATACACATGTATACTTTCTATTTTATTGTAAAGAGCCTGTAATTATAAGTCTAATTAATATGTTATTTTTTTTTGTTTTATGGTAACAATTTATGTACTGGTAAAATTGTGATTTCTTTTTCTTTCCTTTTTTTCTTTCTTTCTTTTTGAGAAATGGAACGAAACCTTTACTGTTCATATTGCATACAAAATATGAACCTACAAAGTTCCAATCATTTCTAATTATTGTTTTTATTCTACCAGTTTTAATTAAAAGTTAACACGTAATTTATGAAACAAGATTAAGCAAGTATATTTTAAAGTACAACTTATTCAGACATTTCAATATTTTGAAATTTAATTATAAGGAAAAAAGTAACTGCCAGCAACTAAAAGCTTTTGTGCACAGAGTTTATTAATTCAACCTTTATTGACTCATTTTAGGTCCGAGAGCCTTCGCAGTCTTTTTGACTACTATCAAAGTGATATATGAAGAAGTTAAGGATGTTCCACAAGATCAATTACAGAAGCATCTAGAAAATTACTTTCTTGCCTATGATACATGTGTCATTTTGGATGGCTTAAAGTCTGCTCGTGAACCGCTTCCACTTCCACATCCTTATGAAAAAAAAAAAAAAATCTTTGGAAATGTATTAAAAAGGTCATTGACAAACTACATTTACCTAATCATGTCAACAAAACATGTAAAAAAAATATAATCCAGAGATACTGCCTGAAGGATACAATACACAAAGCTGCTGAGCAGACATTCTTTGGCTTGGACGCTTTAAAAAGATTGTCAACTCCATGACTCAAATGCACCACTTGTTTTATCTTCATCGCATGGTGAAGAGAAGAAATCTGTACACTTCAAAATGTAGGAAGAGCGGCAAGGAGCCAAGTTTACCTCAACTTAGATTTGAAAAAAGAGGCTGTAGAGTGAAATGATGTTTGAAAGTGTCTTCAAGAACTGAAGGCTATTGTTCCAACAGAAAAAGTTCAATTTCTAAATTGATATTACAAAGTGACATGACTCAAAAAACAATTTTAATGACCTTTGTTTAAAATATTCAATTTCCTCTTTATACACCTTCTGACTATTTGTGAGTTAGTGATGCTGTAGAGGGAATTTCAGTAGGGCAAAAAGCATATCATTTTATTTTCTTCAATGTAAAAGTTGATTCCAGATAAATTTGTAAGTTGCTTCAGTGTGTGCTTTTTGTGTACAAGAATGGAAATTAAGTTGTGAACTTATCATCATGACAATCCTTGTTCAAAGGCCTGAAATTCGGTTTTGACTTCCATTTCTGTTTAATAAGAAGCATTTCTGTACTTGCATATATGATGTTTATAAAGTGAATTCAATATCAAAACAAAACAAAAAACAAGTCCTTACAGGCTGTTGTGTAATACAATCAATAGATTTTGCTTTCTCCGCATTTGGTTTTTATCCTACAATGCCTTCTAGTTTATAAGCTTAATTAAAGTAATTGCTTAAGTAAAGGTCAAGTTAATATTCACATAAGGTGAACCTTGCAGAGTGTACATGCAATAAATGTTTCTTCATTCCTACAACTAATAGTGTTATATCTAAGATTCAAATATGCTTCATATTTCCCCTATCAAACAGATAAGGCAGTAAAGTGCAAAAATGTGAATGCTTGCATATCATATCGGGTAAATAAACCAAACAACATCGGGAAAATTACTTCTAAGCTAAATTTAGTTACAAAAATGTGTATAAGTTAGCTTTTTTATTTGCATGTTTGAATGAAGAGATAATAATTTTTCTTGCATTGTAGTATAACAATGCATGGTTTATAGTTCAAATGCTTTGTATTTCATTCCACAGGCCTATCAGTTGTTTCTTAGTTTTATTTAATATTATTTAAGAAATACAAATATTATAAAATGATAATACTCACTTATTGAAAGTTTATATTGAGCCTACTTTTTATGTCCAAAATTTGATTATAATTCTTTATTAAGTCTCGAAATAAAAGTTACGGGTTAAGATAACATTATGTAGAAAATGTAATATATAATATTTTTGACAAAATTAACTAAATATTAAATTGGTTCATTGTTAAGTGTTATAATTAAATAATGCTGACTTATTTTTTCAAATAAGTTATTAGATATTGAAATTAATATAGTTTAGAGGTTTTATTATTTCTTTTAACTGATCATGCTTATTTTATATAGTGTTGGTATTGTTTAATAGTGTATAAATTTTAATTATTGTATTTAAAATGCTTATGAATATAACACTTTATTGGATTCATCAACTCTATTCCTTTTTTTCTTAATGTCTTATAGTTTCTTAGTTTTGTTTTGGTAATGTCACTTAAGGTCAGTGTATTGTAAAGGGAAAGGGTATTGTCATCATAAAAGAGGTGTGAATGTGGGACATTGTTGCAAGTTGAGTGTGAACCCCTCCAAAATTTGCATAAATCATTTTTTTATGAATAATTAAAGGTGTGTACAATCTGTAACAACCAATGAAGGTTGAGAATGAATTACATGTTAGGGATCACCTTCTATATAACTGGAACCTTTTTATGAAAAAATTATCACACATTGTGTATGTTTCTGTTTATATCCTAAGCTGTTGAGTCTTATACGAAGTGTTAAGATACTTGTGATTGCAATAAATTTTTTTTTTAAAAATATTACATTGTCAGTAATTCATTAGTGTTAGTGCTCTACTATCTATCTGTGGATTTATTGAAGTGAGTGTTAGCAGTACCCTTTGCATCTAGCATTGGTAATCATGGATGGAATTAAGTTTGAAGACAATAAGTGTTTAGTGAAGGTCAATAAGAAATGGGTGAGGCGCTCAAATTTTTCTATGACATTTAAGCATCATGTTGTCAGTGAAAAAGAAGACGGATATATTGTTGAAATAACAAGATCAAGTGATGGTGCAACTGGGTATGTTAACTTAAACTAGCTAATCTTTTTATTTAGAAAAAATTCAATATTTGTATATTGCATCAAAGCTGGCTCAGATCTATGAAAAAAAAAAACTTTTAGAAAGATTTAAAAGGCTAACCTACTACTCAGTCAGGTGTCTATGTTGACATAAAATTTAATGTCACTAATTCAACTTCCCTTTATATCTCGGAAACTACTAACCGACTAAAAGGTTCCCCCTTTTTTGGGGTTGTGTACCAACCAACTTCTGTTTAGCATTAACAAAATTCATACAATATGCTAAAAGTATTTATCTAAAAATCTGTTCACTTGATTTGATGTAAGTTTAACTTTGGACTTGGACTGACAAAAATGTTTTTTATGTTACTTTTTTATTTGTTACATACCAATCACCAAAATCATTGTCAACAATTAAATGTAATAAAGAGGGGTGAGAGTGGTTTCGTCAAACTACCGGTTCGGCGATCTGATCTTATATTATAAAACAGGTTTAGTGGTTTCGTTGAATTTAATTTGTATAGTGCAAACAATATCTGTTGTGTAATGGGCACGCCAATTATCGTGGTTTATCACACATTTTCATGCAAATGAAAATTTCAACCTATTATTTATTATTTCTTTAGTATAATAGTAATATTTACATAAAAGCATTACACAATACAAAAAAGTCATAAAGATATATATACGTATATAAGTAAAACCTGAAAAAAACAAATAATGATTTAGATTAAGCCTTGTCCGTCTGTCCGTTCTCTTTTGTGTTGCACATAGCTCAAATATTATCTAACCTGACACCTTATAGGAATGCTGCTCAGCTTGTGAAGTTGTGCACCTGGGTATTTTTGTGTTGATTTATTTAGTATTTGCCCTTGACTTAGTAAAAATTTGCAATTTTTAACTTATGTCACACATAGTTCAAAAAGTATTTGGCCTAGGGTCATGAAACCTAACAGGCATGTTGCTTAGCATGTGAAATTGTGCACCTGGATATTTTTAGCAAGAGTCCTGAAACTTTACAGGAATGTTGATCAGCATGAGTAGTTGTGCACCTGGTTACTTTCAGT